ACCAGAGTTATGTTTACCAGAGTTATGTTTACCAGAGTTATGTTTACCAGAGTTATGTTTACCAGAGTTATGTTTACCAGAGTTATGTTTACCAGAGTTATGTTTACCAGAGTTATGTTTACCAGAGTTATGTTTACCAGAGTTATGTTTACCAGAGTTATGTTTACCAGAGTTATGTTTACCAGAGTTATGTTTACCAGAGTTATGTTTACTCAAGTTATGTTTACCAGTTATATTATGTCAAGTTAATATAAACTGAATTTATTTTCTATGCTAATTTTATAATAATATCCTGATCCATTGGGAATTAGCGGAAACAAAGTTTACATACGGTTAGGGTATTATTAATTAATCTTCCTGTAATCTTGATATAGTGATTGTATAAGGTTAATAGTTTTTTAATCATATAGTAATTGAGAATTAGGTGTGTTTGTTAGTTCTATTGCTTTTTATATGATACTTTTTTCAGTAAAAAATAAAGTTTTTTTTTTTTATAGTAAACGTAGGTCGTATTGTATAATAAGGTTTATTAATTTTCGATAGTAAAATATTATAAATTTTGTGAATAAATAATTTTTCTGAAACTTTTATTTTTTATTATACTTTCATGTTTTTTGGCTTCTTTTGTATTTTGACGGTAAAAAGTCGATTTAAAAAAAATGTATTAAAATTATACTTGACTAGTCATAAATTAGCACTTTATTTTTTTATGACATGTAAATTTTATAATAACTCTGGAAAAAATCTTTTATGTTACATAACTCAAGGAATTAATCTTAATTGTACATAATTTTTAATTCAAAAAAAAAAAAATTGGAATCACTAGAAATTAGTACAATATATTTTTCAAACAACAATAATAGAAAAATTATTTTATTTGATTAAGTTTATTAATAGTAATATAATTATTACAATTAATAATATTAAAATTTTACTTTGATTATTTTTTGTTATTTTTTGATTACCCATTATTCTGAATTAATTTATTTCTATTTTTCTTTCGAATTTCTTTTGATTTTCAATTATTGCGTCGACCTTCTCTTTTAAAACATCTATCTTTCTTTTATGATTCTCGTTCATTGCACGAATTATTTCTTTAGTCTTATAAATTATTCCTTCAATTATATAATTTTCTTTTTCAGAATTATTATATAATTTTTTAGAGAAGTAGTTCAAAATGTCTTGGTGCATATTTGACATGTTTGTTAATAATAGATTTAATTTAGATGATTCCGCTCTTTCAATTGCAAGTCTTGAGTATCCATCCATGACAAATATCACATAAATTCCTATTGTGGTGTTTTTGGGATATCTTAACATCATTCCTTCAAATGCCCTAATTTCATCGACGCTAACCTTTGCAGTTGTATAGTTCTTACATTGAACTAGAATTAAATACCCTTCATGGTTTCCAAAAATGTCAATACCTCCATTACCACCAAATCCTAATAACCTAAAAAAAAAAAAAAAAAAGTAAGCAGATGCTATTATTATCATCAAGTATAAAAATTCTGAGTGACTGAACATCAAAGCATCTATCCATGCATCCTATTCACCATAGCCCCAGAAGTCAATCAATGGCCTTGTGCAAGCGAAATACACAGTAGCTTTTCGAATTATATATAAATCAGAGAAGGATGTTCACAGGTCTGGTTATTCCAGTCCAAATAACTACCTGAGGCCACGATGTGCTTTCAGTTCTCTGCTTATTATATAATTCTAGTGGCAATATAACTTCAAATGCATAATGACTAAACAACTACTTAATAAGATAAATATCTCACCTTACTCTTTGACAATCAATCTTCATAGTTTTTTTAAGAATCCTGAAAACTATAAATTCAAGTTCGTCTCCTTTTGACTTAGAGGATGAATTGATTGCAAAATTCTTAAGTTTATCCTTTTCGACTCCTGTTCCATTTTGATAGCACTTTCTATCCAAATAATATTTAAAGTCTTTGTATTTATTTTTTCTAACTCCAAAACTGTCCATTAAGAAATTTTAATTTTGTTTGACTGATTAAAATTGCATATATATAAGAATATTAACTTACCTAACGATAATTCTCACGTTTGATTTGAAAGCATGTTCACATTCCATTTTTAGTAAAATTTGAAATTGAGGAAAATCAGAAAGAAATGTTCGATTGACAGATAAATGTATTTATAGTTTATCATTTATCATGTGCAATCAAATTATTATCAAATGAGATCTTTGCTATCAAAATGACGCTCCGAGGCTATGTTGATTTTGTATATAAAAATTAAATTTGCCAGCCATTAAGTAATCCAATATGAATAAACTTTTTTTATTTTGTAAATATCAATAGAATCCACAAATTAAAAAAAATTCCATTCAAATTGAATAAATATGGCTGGCAAATTTAATTTTATTCACAAAATTAACATAGCCTCAGAGCGTCATTTTGATAGCAAAGATCCCAAATTAAAAGAAACTATTTCGTAAATTACAATGTAATATAAAGATGTAACTTTTCGTAATACAACCTATTTGTCAGTAGGGTTGGAAAATTACCGTAATTTTTATAAGTTTGTTATTTAAATATTTTTGGCAAAAATTTTATAAAACTAGCATTAAAAATAAATATAATTATTTATTTTAATACGAGTGCAATTAAGAAAATTCAATTAAAAATATGGATAAGTTTATTTGTAATATATTACATAACAACCTATACTTAAATTCTCTGTAACACAAAATTTTACTAAGATAATCTCTTTTGTGCTGCTAATAATAACCCTCTCGCAATTTTGTATTAATCTTGACATTAATTTTAAACCTAACCTAACACTAACCCTAACCCTAACCCTAGCTCTAATATTAGCAGGTTGTTACAAATAGATTATTAAATTTAGAAAATTATAATTCTTGCATGCTCGCAGTTAGATTTTAGTAATACATCGACTTGTAAATCTAATGACATTTCGAATCTGATGAGTTTTTAATAGAATTTTAAATCTTGAATGAGCAATTTTTGATAGTTATCATGCCCACTACCATGTATATTACCGCCTTCGAAAAAACTTCTAATCGTGTAATTAGACATTTTCGAAACTGCATAGATAATATATAATTTGATCTTGGGCTAATGTTAGATTAAATCAATGAAGGTTCAAAATCTTTTATTGTTGAGAAATGTCATTGGATCTTCAATCATTGTGATACTTCCTGACAATATAATTATTCAAAAGGTGGTTGTCATGCCCACTACCATGTATATATTACCTCTTTCAATGAAAACCTCTAATCGTGTAATTAGACATTTTTGAAACTGCAAGGATAATTTCTTGTATGTATTTGTTAGATTAAATCAACAAAGGTTTAAAATCTTTTATTGTTAAGAAATGTCATGGATCTTCAACTATGGAAATCTCTAATCACGTAATTAGACATTTTCAAACTGCAAGAATAATTTCTTACATGTATTATTATTACTTATATTTAAATCAACATCAAAAAGTTTCAAAATCTCATTGTTGAGAAATGTCATTAGATCTTCTCTCTTTTATGCAGAATTAATTATGCAAAAAATGCTTAATTATATGATCTTATCTCTGTCAACATTAAGGCTGAGATTAGATCATATGAATCAAAACCATATAACTTATTACAAATAAACAAACAGAATTGTCTTTGAACTTATTATTATTTGAACTGATTGTCTGTGGCTTTGTTAAAAAAGTAAAATATTCGATTGAACCATTAATAACCAATACAATCTTTTTGATGTATTCAATACAAAATTAAAGTAAAAATTGTTCTTTCTTTTAAATTGTCTAATTCACTAAGTTTTGTTGTTACAATTCTTGTTTCAATTTTTCAAAAATAATATAATTGTTAATCATATTTTCCTGAGTTGAACATTTTGGGTTGATATAAATGTTAGTTTTGGTTTCGAATTGGGATTTTAGGTTTTATGTTTGATCGTATATACAGAGATTTATTATTATTATTATTATTATTATTATGACACTCCATTCTGCAATGTATCATTTTTTTAAAAAAGAAATCAATTAAATCATTATTGAAATTAGCTAAAGCAATACAAAATTATTGTAAATATCTATAGATAAATACTTTTGCTAACAGAAAAGTGAATTGAATTTTGTTATGTACATAATGAATTACAATTAATTAAAAATCTATTTCTTAACATAATTTTACTCTTGTTCAATTGTAAATAAATTATATTATAATTTAATGGTTTTTTTTGAAAATACATCAAAAAAGGATTAGAAATAAAATTAACAAGGTAAAAAAAAACGAGGAATAATTTACACTAAAGAAATGTTAAATAATGAAAATTTCAATTTAAAAGATTTATATGAAATAAAATTTTAATAGAATAATAATAAGAAAAAATTATTAGAAAAAAAATAAAATAATGATATAGAACGTTTAGAAGATAAAAAAAGAAAAATTTATTAAAAAAAATTAAATAATGATATTGAAAGTTTAGAAGATAAGAAATTTATTGAATATAAGCTGGAATTGTGTAATTATTTCAATAAGTCATATATATTGTATTTATTTGAAAGAGTTTGAAAATATAAAAAGAATAAGCAGTATAAAAATTAGAAAATATATTCAAAGAGGAGATTCTTAAAATGCCAAACTTAAATTTGGATTATTAATTAAAGATAAATAATAAACTTGGAAAAATAAAAGAATTAAAAAATAAAATTGATGATTGTGATGAACTTACTGATGATAGTAGAAAAATTTTATATCCATTGACTCCAAGTAGGTTATATATACATTGTTCATCTATAGGCATTAGAATTCTCATATTGTATTTGATTGGATTATAGTCAACCTAGGTGTCTAATAGACCTGGTATCAAATTTTTATTAAAACTCCGAAATTTAAATGTGACTTCACAGACTCGCGGGACAACAACCCTAACGTCGCCATAAAAAAATGGTAGCTGGATTTTTTTTGCCGGCCTACATATAACTTCGGATGACAATTGCTGGACAAACTCATAAAATTTTTTTTTGCTAATCAAGCTATATCGATATATGTTTGAAACTTTAAATATTATTAAAGAACTTTAACATTAAATATAATGCATAGTAGCTATTTCTGACACATGTTTTAGCATACGAAGTAATA